TGCATAACTTCTCTTTAATGTATTTTATAAAATAGGAGCCCTGATCTGGCTTGCCTACACAGATTTTCATACTCTTATTTTCAAGGTTCTGCCTTTGGGCAGTTTTGTTTTCAAAACACTTTTTAAAAAGCATGTTTTGGTGCATTTCCAAGTAGCCCTTTGGGGTCAGTTAGCACCTAGTAATATTTTTCTAAGCTGTCACTGGAGGTGCTTAACTAGTGTGTACTTAGGCATGTCTTACCCGACAAGTCTTCTGTATAGGTTTTATTCTTTAAAGAAACAGTACCCCTTCATATTCTATAGTGAGCAGGTGGTTACTATGTATGAGACTAGGGGAGGGGAGAAGCTGAAGTTATGTACTTTTTTTTTTAACTGAGCCATCCTGCCACCTGTTGGCAGCTCAGTGGCACCTCAGCTTAGGCATCAAACTGGGACCCTGTTGCTCAGGGCTTGCACTCGTTTATGTACTCTTGAGTGTAGATCTTTCCAGCTAGTGAGTTCTCATTGTTGAAGCAGCCACACTGACTATGTGTCCTGTTCCAGGAATTCAAGTCCCATTAAGATGTGAATCACCCTTTTGCACATGAAGATATATGTGCCCTGATGTTCATTGCAGCTTTATTTACAGTGGCCAAGACATGGAAACAACCAAAGTGTCCTTTGATAGATGATTGGATAAAGAATATGTGGTATATATACACAATGGAATACTATTCTGGCATAAGAAAAGATGAAATAGTGCCATTTGCGAAAATATAGATGGATCTTGAGATCATTATGCTAAGCGAAATAAGTCAGACAGAAAAAGTCGATAACTATATGACTTCAGTGATATGTGGGAGATAAAACTGAAAGCAACAAAGGAGCAAGAAAAACAAAGAAATAAAAACCCATAGACACAGACAATAGTTTAGTGGTTCCCAAAGGGTAAGGGGGGAGACGGGTGGTAGAAGAGGGTAAACGAGGTCAAATATATGGTGATGGAAGGAGAACTGACTCTGGGTGGTGAACACACAATGTGATATATACATGATGTATTACAGAATTATACACTTGAAACCTATGTAATTTTACTAACCATTGTCACTCCAATAAATTTTAATTAAAACAATTTTTTAAAAAGATGTGAATCACCAAATGAGTATACAAAGATCATGTAAACTGATAAACACAGATGTGCTTTTCTTTGAGGGGCTGTTTGGGATTAATAAAATATGTTTGGACTATACCCTGTAAATCACCTCCCTTGAAGTGAGGATGAGATACATATACATACAGTTGACCATTGAACAACATGGGTTTGAACTGAGCAGGTCTACTTATACATGGATTTTTTTTCAATAAACACTGTACATGTATTTTCTCTTATGATTTTAATGACATTTTCTTTTCACTTGCTTTACTGTAAGACTACAGTATATAATACATGTAACATACAACAGTTGTGCTAATTGATGGTTTATGTTATTGGTAAGGCTTCTGGTCAACAGGAGTGTATTACTAGTTAAGTTTGTGGGGAGTCAAAAGTAATACATCCATTTTCAACTTTGTGGGGGATCGGTGCACACATTTTAATGATACAGGCTCTAAGATGATCTCTGTGTTTGTGGATAGTTTCTAATGATAGACAGTCTAATTACACCTTCCTGTTATATTATTGGGTTGTCGGAAAAGTCATGATGCATTTTTGCAATGAAAAACAGAAAAATACGTCATGACTTGTCCAACAACCCAATATTTTACACACAGTTTCTCGGGGGTATCAAGTAAGGTCATGTGGCACAATAAACTCATTTGTCTGCAAATACACAATCCATGTAGTTTGTGGATTATGTACATGCTGCAGGAACTGCCTCCCTACCCTGTGGCTCATCTGACTCTACAGACTCCTTCATTCCCAGCCATTGATCATTGGGCAATCATTGGTCTCAAAGGCATGTTTACTTTCACTGCCCTTCTGTGTGGCAAGGGTGATTTAGTAAAGGAAATAATCAGGGAGGCAATTATTTTTCTAGCATTCCTTTAAACCTTTGGTTTCTTATAAGGCTGACAGAATAATTTGCTAATATAGTCTTGATATCCAATCCGTCCATCCTTCTACATTCCATCAATGCAAAAATGTTTTCTGTCTGTTCACTGGTGTATTTTCCATGGACTCATATTTGCTTTCACAGCAGTTAAAAATAAGTAAATGAAAAAGGAGTCATTTAAAGGGCAAGAGTAAGTGGAAAGGGAAGGAGACAAAAGAAAACTGTAAATGATTACCTTAACCTCACTGAATAGTCACTTCAATGTAGGATTCATACATTATCACGATTGACACAAAAATTCAGGTAAGTTCTACTAGTATCACCTCAACCTTTGGAAACTCAAGAGTTGATGTGTTAACTTAAGAAAGCCTAGTTTCTAGGTATAGTGACTTTGACCCAAACCCTAAATTATCCCAACTGCTTTATTCTGAAAAAAATGCAGTCAATTCTACCACAGAGGAGAAAAAAATATTTAAAATGGAGTAGAGACAACATTATTCAGGAAAAAATGAGTCTTCACACAAATAACTTTCATGAACACATTTATTGCAAGTAGCTCATGGAAAGGCAAATCTGATATATAAACACTATACAGAGTTGCAAGGTTGTCTCCCAAAACCGCAAACAAGACGTTTACAAAGAAAAGAGAGTATAAGAGTATTTACAAAGGAAGACAAAGCCAGAGCAACTCAAAGCAGAGCTGTGAAGCAGATATAGCAAATGAAATTAACTGTTGGAACTATAAAGTTTTAGCTTTTACTGATCAAGTGATTATGTCTGATATAAAATTAAATGTAGGTCACACACACACAAAAATCGTTCCATCATTGGTTTTTCTTAACAGCAGCATAAACTAGTAGCTGGAAGGTGATATGTTGGTTCACATATTCTAGAAAGATCCTTCCAGCACAATACTGAATAAGTTAGTTGTGTCTGTAAACTAAGAAGTAGTGTCAAAAAAATTGCATATTTGCTATGCTGTACCTGTGACTATTTGTACCTGTTACTATTTGTGTGTACTGTTGTATATGAGGTTTCCCATTCATTTATTCAGCAAGTGTTACATCTGTGAAGTACCCTGTCTGCTGGCAGCCCCTGAACCTAATACGCAAATAAAGTAATATAGCATTTTCCCCCAAATAACCTTTTCTTTTCCACAATTCTGAACGATTATGACTTAACTTACTTGAAAATAAAATTATAACAGAAGGCTTGAAAAATGGCTGCCTAAAAGAGTGCATTGTTATCATAATGAACAAAAGCCACACTGCATTATTTGATTAGGTTGGAAATAGAGAAGAGTCTGAAGGAACTGATGAAATCCATGCCCTAGCAGTGACCAGTAACTATAGTGATTGGTACTGCAACCACGTCCTCTCCTCAGCGTCATTCACAAGGGAAAAAAGAATCCCCCATCCCTTTGGTTGGAAAAATAACAGAAATCAACTCGGTTCTTCAGAAAAGTTAGTTTAGCAACATGTACTATAAGCCTGCTTGAAGATAGAAGTACACGTTCAAAGACATCAAAACCGAGTGGCAAAAAAGTTTAGGTAAATATTACACTACTTCAAAGTTGCACATTAAATGCAAAGCAATTTTTTAGACAGGGTTACACACAACAGGTACATCTACAATCACTTGGACACAGGTACACAAAGGTGTGCATACACACAAACATGTGCGCGCACACACACTAGCACTCATACACTTCTACAGACATTCATACCCATCTGTGAGATGATGAGGTTTGCCAGTGATGGTACAAATAATGAATTGTGTGCCACCACATAACAAAGCTCTGAGCAAGCTTCAAGACCTTTGTTTCTATCCTCTGTGATCACCACCTGTTATTGTCATATTCTCAAAGGTCCAGGTTCCTAAAATCTTAATTCAGTTTCCATCAGAAGCAAGCAAAAACAAGAGGGAGTGGAGGCTTGCTCTGATTTTTGTTTTTTAATTTGGTACATCTTACATAGGCTCATTGTCCAAAGGGAAACAAGGCCTTATAAGAGGCTCTTTTTGGTTTAAGTTTTAGTCAGAACAATCATTGATACGTACACACTAATTTCTTGAATACGGGAAACTGATCTATTTATAGGAGCCTTGGGCATAGAGGGGAGAGTTTGTGTCAAGGACAGAGCCAGAAAGAAAGGGAGAATGGACGGTGAAAGGGGGGAGGCCCAGAGAGGGGCTTTGTGGGGAGACTTCTGAAGAACTTTGCTTCTTTTAGGGGGAAAATGTAGGTTTCAAAATAAAAAAAATAGCGATCTTGGAAATGCTCAATTGATTTGCAAGCAGAACATCACAGTGTTGGACATGAACACCTAGATAATCTGTTCCTCGGTTCTGCCTTTCATATGTTGGAAATGCTCAACCAAGATATCAATTCAGCTGATATTTAAGCTGGACAGAATGTTGCAGTTTTGCTAACAAGCAAAAACTGAGATAATCTGTCCTTTGGTCTTGCCTTTAAAATATTAGAAACGTCCCATCAAGGTATCAGTTCAGTTGACATTTAATTCCTTGATCTAGAAATGTTTTGATATGTACTACTCAGAGAAAAAGATTCCAGATCATACCTACCTTCTCATGAACATACCTTTTCTTTCTCCACTCTTGTTCAAAGAATTTTCAACTTCAAAACTAAATCTATTACACATCAGTGAAACTGATATTGGCTACATTTACACATATGCAAATAACAGTTTTGTAAAGAGGGTAAGAGTTATGGGATGCTCACTTTTATAGTACTCGTTTCCTTTCAAAGAGACAGACTGGGGAGGGAAACCAGAAAACAAAAACAAAGTACAGTGTAAATTTCTTAATTCACAATCACTGGATCCATAAGGCAGCAGTATGGATGATCTGTGCTACGATCATTTAACTGCCAGCATCCACTTGAAAGCTTTTAGAAATTCAGGTTGCTTTCCATTCAGAAACCTCTGAATTTTCTTTCTTTTAGGCATATCTGGAGTAGACAAAGATGATATTTCATAAGCATCCTTTTTCTTCTAAAAGGTGTTTTTGTGGCAATGTAATCACTCTAGCAAAAAGACAGGACAAAAGAAAAAAGTTACTTGCAGAAGTCAAGTGTGAAGCGCTTTCACCCCCACCCTGTTCCAAAGGAAAACAAAACCAAACCCAAATTGAACTAGAAGTTTCTGAGAGCCATGTGGAGGAGACTGCCTTGGCATGGATGTGCCTAACTCTGCCAGCTGCCAGTGACAAACACCAGCACAAGCCCAGCGAAGACACAAGTGCAGTTACTCCTTTTGCCCACAGGCTGCCACCCTGACATAGCTGGTGGGTAGCAGCTTTGCACGTACACGCACTCTTCTACTTCCTACCAGTTGGGCCAGCAAGTGAGCCAGGCATTGGGCAGAAAAAGACAATGTTTTTCTTCACCTACATCCTTGATTATGCCTTCACCAAATTATTAGCACATGTCAAAGGGTTTAAGCACAGCCTCGGTGAGAGTTTCCAGAGTCAATCGCTGAATTTCTTCTCAAAGAGCAAAGTCATACTTGCAAAGGAGATTTGATTGAAATCCACTTCTGTCTAACAAAAAGTTCTGGTAGTACTCTCTTGGACTTCTGCTAATTGTGAGGGTACATAATCAGGAGTGGGGCACAGGAAGGGGATCTGAAACAGTGAAGAGGGTGCTGGGCTGGAAGAGAGGTGGGATATAAGGTCAGCAACTTTATTACAGGATGCTAGTGTCACTTTAAGACCTAAGTACATGCTCTATTTCATTATAGCCAACCTAACAGAATCCACGGAAAGCATCCTCCAGAGTAGGCTTTGACTAAATGCTTTTGTATTGAACCAATTCATTTTTCACTTTGACTATTCATTTTTTCATCAGAGGTTTTAAACATGTAACAGACTTGAAGCTGCATGAAGCACCAAAGGTCTCCATTTCCCTTCCACCTATTTGTGGTTATTAGTCATAATTCGTTGTATAGGGTCATTCCGCCACACTAAAAGGTTTACAAAAATAAACACCCTGGGTTAGTAATGTTAGGAAGCTTTTCTGTCAGCAGTAGGCTTAGGAAATTGTAGATTCCCAGATTCATCAAGTTTACAAAGGATAAAAGGTATCTGTGATAGCCATAGGTTACCCATGAGAGTGCACATTGGCAATTCAATTATAGGCTGCAAAATTACACTAGAGTAGCATCATAGAATTTTGCATATATTATCAGCTATATTTTTTTTGTTTTTTTTTAAAGGAAAGTATTTTTAATTACAAACTATAAAATAAAGTTCTTGATACAAATAATAATCCAATGGATTATTTTATACAATGTGCAGTAATTTTATTACTGTTAATATGACCCATGTTTTATCAAATATATATCCTAAAATGGATTGCAGCGGGTAGCAGTTGAGAACACAGCATCTTGAGAGTCATTTATTCTAGTGAAACCCATGAAAATGTAAACACGTTATTCAGATGGTTATTAAACCTTGGCATTTTCTTATGCACAGTAATTTTTCATAAATAGATCCAAAGCTTAGTAGATAAAACAGAAAGAAGTTGGAAGATTTAATCCTTGTTCTATTTATGTAATATATCAACTTTTTGTTTTTGTTGCTGTTAGGGAATTCCTTGAGAATGTAATGAAAGATGTTATTCCTAGAAAATGAACAAGCATTTAAAATATTTAAGATATATAGCACATTACGTAAATTTTCAAGAGGTCTTGAACCCATTTGAAACTAGCTATATTTTAACAGAAAATTAAAGTTTGAAAGGTATATCACCTAATTTAGTTTGCTACTTTGTTTTAACATAAATATATACTCACATAAGCACACTGCATGTGCTTTAAAGGGGATTTCTTACTAACCTATATAATACACTACATTTCATAGATATTTTTTCCAGAAACAAACAAATTAAGCTCCATATAACTATATCAACATTATACTAAGCCTGATATTTGGAGCATTCAGTTGTTTTATTGTTCTTCTTTTCTTTTCTTTCTTGTTTTTTAATTAAAGTTTATTGGGGTAACAATGGTTAGTAAAGTTACATAGGTTTCAGGTGTACAATTCTGTAATACATCATCTATATATCAATTGTGTGTTCACCACCCAGAGTCAGTTCTCCTTCCATCACCATATATTTGTCCCCGTTTACCCTCATCTACTACCCACCCCTTACCTTCTGGTAACCACTAAACCATTGTATATGTCTATGAGTTTTTGTTTCTTTGTTGCTTTCAGTTTTATATTCCACATATCAGTGAAGTCATATAGTTCTCAGCTTTTTCTGTCTGATTTATTTTGCTTAGCATAATAATCTCAAGATTCATCCATATTGTCACAAATGTCACCATTTCATCTTTTCTTATGGTAGACTAGTATTCCATTGTGTATATATACCACATCTTCTTTATGGAATCATCTATTGAAGGACACTTTGGTTGTTTCTCTTCCTTACTTTTCTTAAATGACAGAGGCTCTAATAAAAATTTGATTCATATTTCAATTGCTTTCCTATAACACCTACAAAAGTGTTAAGTGAATCCTTGGTGACATACTGAAACCTAGCAAATAATGGTGTGATTTCAAGTTTACTTTAGCAAATATAGTTGTCAACTTTTGATTAACCATGCTAGTAGAAAGAACTAATGCTATCCAAAACAAGATAATCCAAAAATAATTTAATTTGCTTTTGAAATGCATTATGGGACTTGAGCCACAGATTTACCTTTATAATCGTGTTTTACTTAGGCCAATAATAAAATAAGTTTACATTCACTGATCACTTTCCAAAGAACAGAATAAGGAAGTAACTCAGAAGATTGCTATGTGGCAAAGGAAAGCAATTTAGAAACAGCCCGTAAAATGAATATCAAAAGCCTGGCAATCATATCTTAGCTCTGTCTTCTGCTCGTTTTGATATCATTTCATCACTTGAAAGGTAAATGGCAATGCTTTTAATAATGTGGTAGTTTCTGATTCATTATTTCCACTTAATATTGACAGGATATAAATTGTTACCTTATTGGTATTCTTACTTTCTGATTAATCGAAGACCTTTTTATGACAAGTTAAGTCCACCCCTTTTAATGAGAGTTATACTCTTCAAGTAATTCTTCTCTGTAGGAGAGAAAACCTCAGTGGAATATGATGGGTCAAAACACGTTTCTACTCCTGCCCCCAAAGCCTGCAGGTATCTTTTTCTTCTCAAAAACAAATGAAGTAATCTTTTCTGTTTCAATTTGTATAATGATATAAACCTGAACAGTAATCTCTAATGTACTAATAGGGCACACATGACTTCAATATCCCTGGAAATTTGTAAAGTGAGCCAAGAAGTCAGTTTCTCCAGGGCATTCCAGACCTCTTTCTATGAATCATAAACACGCATCTATTACAGTTTGAAGTCCAAAACAGAAATGGTTCCCCTGCCCAGCAAAAGCCAAAATTATTACAATATATCCAGTTATTCTGTCATTCTCTTTCCACTCTCCCCAATCTCATTGCCTTAGTTATCATTTCAATTCAAATTTTCCTAGAACTCAAAAATTTTTTTTCAAGTTCTTTTGAAAGTTCCTCACAGTTTATTATGCCACATGCTATCCATACAAACAATTGGTGATCACACAAATAGGGGCAACCAAATAAAGCATTTGAAGGAAACCAAGCTGAAGGAAATGAAGAGAAATGGAAACATATACATATACATCAAAGATGAATGTATAATAATATAATTATATTATTTAGCTTAGCATTGCCTCTGACTTATATAGTTTGTTTTCCCCCAAGAACATATCATTGCACTTTTCTGTGCCCTGTAAATAAATGGATAGGAGGATATTCTCTAAGACTTGCTAAAAACTTGCGTGCTATCTTTCCAGGGTGAAAACTAGCAATAACTGCGCTAGTGTTTCCAATGCCACTCATACCAGACTATTGTCTCCCTTATAGATCAGAAGATCAAATATGCCTCTCCCTGTGGTAGAAACAGTTTTGTGACAGAATAGTCAAAATAATCTGGAAGGGACATGGATGACACTTGTAAACTTCCAACTCCTCAAAGGTCAGTTCAATTTTTTTACACCTGCACTTCGGTAGCTGGGACCACTTATGCACCTTCATTCCAGTCTTGATTGTCTGGGTAAAAACTATTTGTGGATCAGCTACAGGATTTTCATCCCAGGTCAGCTTCTCCACTTCCTCCAAACACACACATGAGCCACTTCACCCTTCTGCCTAGTTGCTGCAGACTTAAAGAATTCAAGTTACTAGAATTCTAATATAGGCAATCTCCAATTTACAAAAGACACATATTCCAGTGCTCATTTTTATAGTTGAAACACAGAATAAATTACCCTATAGAAACAATGTTATAAATAAATGGTGGGTAGGTTCATAGGTTCGTCTACACATGCCTATATTAAACCTATTCAGTTCCTGAACCAAGATGGACTACGCCCAATTGTCACTTACAACACCATTTCAGTGGGAAGATATATTTGAAGTTTCAATTTGGGACTCCAGTAAGATATCTCTTGTGGCCACAGCAATAGGAATAGTGAGTGTCCTCTCAACTCAAGTTGCTGGAATAATTGGGGTCAGGGTGGCAGTGGAAAGAAAACTATGGGAAGAGCTTCAGCCACAATAAGGAGTCCTTCAGAGGTTCAGGGGTGGGGATCTGAGGGTAAGTACAGCATTGGTATGCCTTCAAGAATGGAGGCACAACTTATGAAAAAGCAGGAGTTAAAAAATCACACTAATTGGTGAGACTTTCAAGGGCACTTTGTGTGTGGCATGTGAATAATTTTCAAGATGAATTTAGAGATAGAGACTTCATTGGTATTCCAAGTTTCAAGTCTACAAGTAGGAAATTAGTAGTCATACAGAGGCAAATTATATAAATTGTGAAAACTAGCTAAAGTGACTACAATTTATGGGGAATTGGATATTCAGTAAGTCCAGAAGGTCTGACTAGCATCAAAACATATTGTGGTCAGTTCAACCATGAAAATAGCTTTAAACCGGCCCAGCTATCTCTGTGCCAACAAGTAA